TCAAGCGGGGTGGCCATTTTGGTGTCCTTACAGGAATTTGGAGTTTTTCTAACATTTTCTTCTAGCGACTTGCAATGTTTGCCACCTGGCGATCCCAGAGCTCTTTGCGCATAACATGTGTATCCGATTACTGGAAAATCATTCACTGTTATCCACGGAGTTTAAACCCATTGCATAACATGAAAGAAGGATGATTTCCAGAAAACACTGGTACCTTGGTATTGCTTTGTTTTTCAGAGTGAGGAACAAAAGTTGGTTTCTGAGAACCCAGAAGGTAAGAATAATATTCTTTTACCTTTACATTCACAATTGGCTGGTCAAGTGTGCTTCGAAATAACCAGAAGTGCAGCTCTTTTCGCTGCTATTGTTTTATTATTGTAGCAGCTGTTATTGTTTTAGGGCTAGGGGCATTGTTTCTGTTGTTTGTTCTTTTGTTCCCTTAAAGGGTTTTGAGCCATTCATGCTAGACCTTACGAAGTCTGCTACAAAATCCCAAATAACGAAATAGTTGATTCATTTACAATAGCTGCTATTATCACCAGTCAACTATTTGGTCCACGCATTTTGTTGTCATCAGCACTCCTAACCCCTCAGCAAAGGAGCGAAAGCGTGGCACGGGAATTCTCCATAAATTGAAACCGGACGTTTTGATGGAATAAACTAAATAAAAAATATAAATCACTTTAGCTTTATTCAAGTGCCTTGGTATTTAGCACTCTTGTCCTAATTGTGGACACTATAAACGAAGAAACAAATATTGTAAATAGAACTGAAAACTGGTTAAAAATCCCAACTGTCTGGAGGCTTACCAGTTGGTCATATGACAAGACGTGGAGGAGTTAAATTCGGGTCCACTGAACACAAATCTATCCAGTTGCAGGGAGGAGGATTTGAACATGGTATCTCAGGTTTATTCATCCTCCATCTACCGAGATAAACCCCGTCCTTCAAAAAGAAGACAGTAGCATTACGACAAACAAATGCAAAAGACTGCACATTCTTGCCTACCAAAAGACATTGCAGTTTAGAATAAGTCACTTGAACTTGCGAGTCCACAAAAGTCATCGTTCTAGGATAGAGGAACAAGGCGCCAAGCGGCCCCACGGCATTTTAAACAAAGAGAGTTATAAATAAGAAAGAAGCCTTGTTACTTTATACGAACCTAGGACATATAATTAGCACAAAGAATAGTTCTATGTGCAGCGGAAGTGCACCAAAGTAACCCTGCATTTCCGCGAATAAGAGAGGCGTTCCTATTCATTATGAACGCAGTAAGAAAAGTACTTTATTTTAGTTCATCGACATCCAGTTTTGTAAGTGTGATTGTCATCCTTTTTGCAGCCTGTTTAATGCTTATGCAATTTTATGTAAACACCATTAAAAAATTTGTCAATTTGTCTTGAATCACAGCTATTTCTTTCTCTATTTTAGGACCTGCTGTTGAGCGAAAGAGAGTATCGCCAAGTAGCAGTGCAAAACCTCCTAAACTCCCGCGTGAGTATTCAAACTAAACTTCTTATTGGCATAAGCGCTTCAGTTTCGGATTCAGCTACTGTCCCTAAGAATTGGAGGCTGATGCATTGAGTACTCCTAGTGTGACACAGATTGAACAACTCAAAATGTTACAAAGAATAAACTACATGAGAGCATCACAGAAAGCTGGGCCATTTACTAGGTTCGTATTGGCGTTAGTTTCTTGGCCTTTCATACCCTGGGTCCCTCCGTTCCTTAGTGGCGGTGCAGTCGCTACTCAATGATTGTAAAAGCACTTCAGAAAGCTGCAATCTAGAACGTAACGGTAGTGCAGAGATAGTTATGGCTATCAACAGGTAACGTCGATGTCCTCTGCTCTTCTGAAGTCTGGGGTACCCTTGTCACACCGTATCGATCACCGTGATTTTCCTCTCCCTTTCCTTCAAAAAGAAGTACAACAACAGCTACAACATTATATAGGGACAAACAAGTATGGAAGATTTGTTTATTCCCATCGGTTATCATCACTCTCAGAAATGACCTGGCAAACTAGAACAGGTTATATGAGCATAGGGTTAGGCTTACAAAAGCGGGAACTCAGAAAAACATTTGTCATCGCTGTGGGGTAGATGGCACCCAATGGGAGTCCTGCTGCAGTTTAAATGAGAAGAGGAATAAATAAGAAAACAGCCTAGTTACTTTATACGAACATGACATGCAGGGTATTTGCACACCGGACACGGAAGATCCCCAAAATCGCCTTGAATACCAGCGAACAAGAGGGCGATCGTAGACATTATAGCGACAATGAGAACAGTAACTCATTTTACATAATCAACGTTTAGGTTTGTAACTTTGCTTGTGTTCTTTTCATAACTTCTTTATTGCTCCTCTCCATTTTGTGTAAAAGTCATGTTCAAATTTCTCAATTTTTCTTGGATCACAGCTATTTCCTTTTTCTATTTTAGGATCTGAAATGAAGCAAAGGAGAGAATTATCATGTACCAGCTTAAAACGTCCGCAACCCACACCTGGCAGACCTGAAAATTTTGCGGGTAATACTTCTAATAGGAAGAATCCAAACGAAAGGGCCACATTTTCTCACAATTTATATCCTGAGCAATAGCTGTGGGTAAATCTTTGTTTACAAGTTTTGTCGCATTGGTATAAGCACTTCCGTTCCTCATAAAGCTACAGAAGCATGAAGTCTGATTAGTTAAAGGGTATGGTGCAATTAACTGTGCCTAAAATTGGAGGCTAACGTATTGAATACTTGTAGCGTGACAAGGGTTTAACAACTCAGAATTTGTATACAAATGTACTTTTTGTTAGCACTTTTATCACTCAGCAATTTTGCAAATTTTGATGACTAATGCGTCTTTCAAAGATCGAACTATTTCGCCGATTACCAAGTTTCACAAGCTCTTTAAACTTTTGGAGTCAATTCCTATCTGGCGTGATAGCTTCCCAAGGCAAAGTCGTATGCTAAGAGGGTAACATGTGGACACCAACGTCAGCAAAGATTTACCTTTACTGTTACTCATTAAAACATGGGGATTGCTGAATAACATCTCGTGGTTAATTTCCTCTTATTTATATGTTGATTCTTTAGTGGTTAGAAAATGAAGCATAAGCCCCGGTTTCTATATTCGAAGTCTGTCTTGCATTACAGTTGATGTTCGCCTCAAGAAACGGCCAAACTATCTGACAAATACTGACTCTTTCTTCATGATATGGTGACATTGTATCTTTCTCATTTCGCTATCAAGCTTGAAATTCACCATTTTTTCTAGGTGACAGCTCCATGACTGTATTCCTTTTCTATTTTAGGACCTGCTATGAAGCAAAAGAGAGAATCGCCAGGTAGCAGTGCAAAACGCCCTAAACTAACGCGTGAGTATCCAAAATAAACGGCTAAATTCTTCTACGAATTTATTTTGAAGAGCAACTTTAGGCCAGTCTTTTATTGGGAGCGCGGTGGCCTCATGGTTAGTGCGCTTGTCTCCGGATCGAGCGGGCCGGGTTCGAGAATGTAAAACAGTCATTTTGCCTATTACCTTAGTTCATGTAACTCGGGGTAACAACAACAAAGTAGGCGCTCTGCAAAAGACGGTCTTATGGTACAAAATCCGCTATGCAGGAGGGCAAGCTACGCGCTGGGACAAAAAATAAAAACAAAGAAATCATGTATAATGTGACCGTTTTTACAAAAGACCTACCAGAATTCATGTCTAACAACAAGTTTTCGATAACGTAACCGCCAAAATCTGGGAAACTGAATGGGGCGGGAAAGTTCTTTACAATTACGGAACGTGTCACAGCAAAGGTGTTATGATTTTACTAAACCCCAAATTAGATTGCCAAATTGACGAAGAAGTAAGATACAAAAACGGGAGGTTTCTTGGTGCAAGGATAGCCCATGATGATGTTCAGATCGTTTTATGCTCCAAATGACACAACCCGGCCATCAAGTGCTATTCCTTAAAGAAATACAAAAACAACGTTTCTACTTTGTCCGACAACGAGCAAGCTTTCAAATTTTTCTGGCCAGAGCTAAAATCGCTGATTGTTGGAAGTTTTAACTACGTGTTCACAAACGGCACCATGTCGATATCCCAACGACGAGGCATAATCTCTCTTACTCCCCCAAAAAATAAAGATAAAACCATTCTTGAAAGTCTTCGACCAATATCTCTTTTGAAGGTTGCTTGCAAAATTCTCACTAAAGTTTCAGCAAATCGCTTAGAAAAAGTACTACCTAAAATAATAAATCCCGAACAAACTGGCTATGTAAAAGGACGCTACATTGGTGAAAATATCCGATTAATTCAAGATCTAATGTTTTATTTGGAAAAAGAAAATTCTCCTGGCATGGCA